CTCGTGGTCCTGACTTTTTTGTTCATGTTCTCCCTCCTTCTGCTTTTCATCTGGGCCTTGGGAGCTCAGTCCAGTGCTCCAATGTGGGTCTCTGTCTCTATCTCCATCCATCACCAGATGAAGGTTCCATGGTGATATGCAAGATATTCATAAGTGTGACTATGGTAGTGTGTTCAAATTCTTGAGGCAGTCAGAGACATTTTTCACTCAAACTCAATAATTTTCCATCTAATAAACCTTGATTCTTAGCAGAACAGTTTTCTAGTTTTGTACTCTTTTGAAGTAAATTACTAAAACTCAGAGAGTTCTGGGAACTGAAGGCTTACATGTTGGTCAGAAGTAATGATGCTTTCTATGTACTGTATAGAATCTATGTTTATGCTGCCTTAAAGCCTTCAAAGAAGAACACTTACTGGCCAGGCAACAAATGATAAGTCTCTACTTTTTCTGTTTCTTCCTATTCTATATAATATTCCTATTGCAAGATTAATGGTCCACATTTTTCTCAGCAAAGTAACGATGAGTTAATTCAGTTTCCACTCAATACATTTTTATAATTAAACCTATTTTTAATAATTTTCTTCATTTATTTTACATGCCAAGCACAGTTCCTCTCTCTTCTTGCCTCCCATATTCTCCCCCCACCCACTCCCCTTTCCAACTTCACTCCCTTCTACTCCCATCCCCACCCACTACTCTTCTGTCTTCATTCAGAAAGGGAACATGCCTCCTGTGAACCGTGATATTCTCTGAATCCTGTGTCACTGGCATTTTTCAGAGACCATAAGCATGTAAGGGCCTCTCCAAACACTGTCTCTTTGGAGACACTCACAGAAAACTGACAATTGAAATTGGTGATTAGTTATCAAAACAAGTTCCGGAAAAGTTCTTGACTCCCAATGCTAAAGTTGTCATTGCCTCTGCAGAAGAAGTGAAAACTACAGTTCAGAAGGGAGATGAGGTCACAGCCCAGACCTTTATCTCAGAGTTGAGACACCTCCATCATAATAGTGCTGGATTTCAGGAGGTCACAAAGTGTACACTGAACAGAAGGATCTGCATTGAGAAGGAGTCAGGTGAGCAATTTGTATTGGAAGAAGAACTAGATAAGAAGGGAAGTCTGATTACATGCCCATATCTGGAACAGTTGAAAAATTATAAACTTGAAACATGCAGTTTGATTTCTTTTCCAAATCTTAATCTATTACTAATCATTTGACTTAATCATAGGACTAGTTAATGAAAGCATTTAAGTATGAATTAGTATTATTAGTAGTATTATTAATAATTTAATTTCTTCTCTGTGTACGTGTGAATGTGTATGTATCCATGGACCGGTACACATGCATTTAATATCAGGCTCGGTGTGGGGGGGGGGTGAGTGGTCAGAGGACAAACTTAGAACTTAGCTGTTCTTCAGACACATTTTACACTTACAAATTTTTATTATACTATCTTCTTAGACAAAGTCTCTATCAGGACTCTAATTCTCTGATGATTCTAGGCTGGGTAGTCAGCAAGTTCAGTGGATCTTAGTTGACACCTCCACTGCAGTGCTTAGATGACCGATGTATGTTACTACACACAGCTTGTTTTTAATGTCATGTGGAGACTCAGTTTAGGACCTCCATATACAAAGCAAGGACTTTACCAACTGAGCCCTTTCCCTAACCTAGTAATAACTTTTAGGCTCCATTATTGTATTAAACATTATTTTTCCTGTATAATACCTAAGAATCAGTGTAATATCTATGACTACATCTCAGAAATCTAGAGGCTAAAGCAGGAAGATTGCAGAAATTTCCAGTCCAGTGTACATTACAAAGTGAGGCCCTTTGTGAAATCCTTCACCAAATAAATAGAAATATGAAATTACCAATTAGCTGTACACAATCCTATATTGTATCCCTGATAATAGTATCCTGCTAGGGTTTTAGTGGGGTTATGTGGATATGTGTATAGATGTATGTTAACCTATAAGAGACTCGAAAGCTATTGATCTGTGTTGTGCTTTGCCTAAGTGGAATCATATGTAAGACTCTTACTTTTTCATTTCATTTGTTTTGTATGAATACCTTGGTCTTTTACTTACATTGCTGCAGAGCACAGCATCATGAAAACATCAGTTGAGTATGTAAACTCTTAAAGAACATGTGACTAAGTCTAATGTTAAAAGGTGTAGCTTACATATATATGAATTGTGAACTTTGAAGGCAAAGGCACAAGTGTTGGATGACTGACACATGATTTCATTGTGATCACAATGTCTGTGTGTGAGATGCTTGCTTTATCTACATCCATACAAAGAGCTGCTGTTTTCTACAGTGCTTACTTAGCACATCTGCTACTGCGCTATGACAATAGACAATGGATCCTAAGAAAATCATTTATCATTTGTTTGTTCCTTATTAAGAGTGCTCATTTTTCAGAGACTTCTGTTGAAATGATTCACCTCCTATCATTTTGTTGTCTATTTAGCAAGAGTTTTCCCTACAGAATACTTTCTGAGTGAGTTTCTGTTCTCCGCAATTCCTTCCTCATGTGAAAAAGCATACATGACTATAGCCACGTCTTTCTATGAAATTTGATGAGACCAAGTTCTTTGGGTAAAGTCTCAAATATCACTTTATGATTAGTGACTATATGATTAGGGTTTTTTGCTGTATGATAAGCATATTATATAAGAATAGATAAATATTCACATTGTTGTGGGCACATATTTTCATTTTCTTAGGTTTAAATTTCAGATGAGAAATTCATGGGTTTCATACATGCTGAAAGATTTTTTATAACTATTTATTTAAAAGCAATCTTTTCTCATTTTACATACCAATCTCAGTTCCTACTCTCCCCTCTCCTCCCATTCCTTCCACTTTCCTCCCACCCCACCCACAACCCAGTCTTCAGAGAGGGTAAGACTTCCCATGAGAAGTCAACAAAGTCTGACACATCACTTTAAAGCAGGACCAAAGCCCTCCCCATTATATCTAGGCTGAGCAAGGTATCCCTCCAAAGAGAATGGATTTCAATAAGCCAGTTCAAGCAGTGGGGATAAATCCTGGTCTCACTGCCAGTGACCCCCACAGATAGCCCCAGACCTACAACTGTCACCCACATTCAGAGGGCCTAGTTTGGTCGTATGCTAGTTTCCTAACTGTCATTCACAGTCAGTTAGCTCCCCTTAGGTCAGATAAGCTGTTTCAGTAGATATCCCCATCATGGGCTTGACCCCTTTGTTCATATTATTGCTCCTCCATCTGTTTGACTGGAATTTGGGAGCTCAGCCCAGTGCTTCATTGTGGATCTCTGCATTTGCTTCCATTGGTTGCTGGATGAAGGTTCTATGATGACAGTTAAGGTAGTCATCACTCATATTATAGAAAAAGCCAGTTCAGGAACCCTCTCCACTATTGCTTAGGATCCTAGCTGGGGTCATCCTTGTGGCTTCCTGGGAATTTCCCTTGTGCCAGGTTTCTTGCTAGTCCCACAATGGCTCCCTGGATCAATATATCTTTTTTCTTTCTCTTCCTCTCTGTTCTTCCCTAATCTTGACCATCACTTCTTCCCTCCTTTTTCCCTTCCACCCTCTCTTCTTCCCCCACCCCTACTCTCCCAATTTACTCAGGAGATCTTATCTATCTATTTCGATCCACGTATGTTTCTCTTAGGGTTCCTTCTTCTTATCTAGCTACTCTGGGATTGTAGACTACAGTCTGGTTATCCTTTACTCTATGTTTAATATCCACCTCTGAGTAAATCCATACCATGTTTGTCATTCTGGGTATAGAGAACCTCACTCAGGATGTTTTTTTTTTTTCTAGTTCCATTCATTTGCATGCAAATTTCAAAATCTCTCTTCTTCTTCTTCTTCTTCTTCTTCTTCTTCTTCTTCTTCTTCTTCTTCTTCTTCTTCTTCTTCTTCTTCTTCTTCTTTTTGTATGCTGTAGTACTGCATTGTATAAATGTACCACATTCTCTTTTTCTATTATTCAGTTGAGATGCATCTAGGTTGTTTCCAGGTTCTGGCTATTATAAATAATGCTGCTATGAACATAGTTGAGCAAATATCCTTGTAGAATGGTTGAGTATCCTTGGGTATATACTCAAGAGTGGTATTACTGGGTCTTGAGGTGGGTTGAGTCCCAATTTCCCGAGGAACTGCCATACTGATTTCCAAAGTGGCTGTATATGTTTTTACCCTCACCAACAATGGAGGAGAGTTCCCCTTCCTGTGCATTTTCTCCTATGATGAGGAGCTGTATTAAAATTTCTTTATGCCCTGATATGACTTGTAAATAGCAAGTCATTGTGGGATTTAAAAGTGAGCCTCCTTTCCATTTCTATTCACTGCGCATTGGTTCTCAAAGGCAATTTGGTCTTACTCGATCATTATTATTATTATTATCTCATAGATTACATCATGATCGCAGTTTCTCCTCCCTCTCCTCCTCCAGGTCTCTCCAGCCCATCTCCCCTCTCCCCCAGATCCATGCCCCCACCATCTTATTTCAGAAAAGAGCAGGCCTCTCAGGGACAACAACCAAACATGGCATAATATGTATGATGCAAGAAGACTAGATACATACTATCACATCAAGTCTGGGTGAGGCACTCCAGTAGGTGAAAAACGGTACCATAAGTAGGCAGAAAAGTCATCAACCACCTCCATTGCCATTGCTAGGAATCACACAAGAACACCAAGCTATTCAACCATAACATATATGCTGAGGAATTAGGTCAAACCCCTACCCTGATATTCTTAATCCTGACATTTCAAATAAAAGTTTCTGAAAGACTTCAGTAGTAACAGTAACAAAGTATTTTTGAGGCGGGGTCTTGTTATGTTGCCCACAATAGCCTTGCAATCTTGAACATATGTAATTCTTTCACACCATCAAAAATATTTAAAAAAAAAAAAAGCTACAAAAGTTCAAGTCACTATTTTGATCAGAGAATGTATTGTTTGCCATAATGTAGGTGGAAAAGTGCTAAATGACAGAATGGACCTCAAGGATTTGGCAATAGGAATAGTATTCTTACTTCAGAGCACAGTTGGAATTCTGGGAAATCTTTCTCTTCTTTCCTGCTACTTCATCCATTACCACATTGAACAGACATTAAAGACCACAGATGTGATTCTCACACACCTCTTCATAGCAAACTTCTTGATTATTCTTTCTAAAGGAATGCTCGAGACAATGAAAGCTTTTGGGATGAAGGGGTTCTTTAATGATTTCAGCTGCAAACTTCTTTTGTATATTCAAAGACTTGGCAGGAGCTTGTCCATGGGCACCACATGTCTCTTGACTGTCTTCCAAGCCATCACCATCAGCCAGGGTGACTCCTGTTGGAACCGTCTTAAAGTCAAAGCTCCAAAGCATATTGGCCTCTTCACTTTTCTCTGCTGGATTCTCTACATATCAGTAAACATGATTTTCCCTGTGTATAAGTATACCAAGGGGAACAGCAATAACCTGACACATAAGAATGATATGAAATACTGCTCCACTGTAGGTCATGATGAATTCACGGGCTCATTATATACAGCTTTCTTTGTTTTTCCTGAAATTTTGCTTTCTGTTCTCATTATCTGGTCCAGCAGTTCCATGGTTTTAATTCTGTACAGGCACAAGCAGCAGATTCAATATATGCGCTGTATCCGTGTTTCCTCTAAAATATCCCCCGAATCCAAAGCCACCCAGAGCATTCTGGTTTTGGTGTTCACCTTTCTAGGTTTTTATGCCCTCTCCTCCATCTTACAAGGTTGTGTTGCTCTCATATATAATCCTAGCTGGTGGCTGCTGAACATCACAGCCATCATTTCACTGTGTTTTCCTACATTGGGCCCCTTTGTTATGAGCCATTATGCCACTGTGCCAAGACTGTGCTATTCCTGAGTATGGAATTCAAAATTCCATAGCTATATCATAGGTATAAAGATTGTATGGTCTCTTATTCACAGTACCTAAAATTATATATTCTCATGTCTTTCAAAACATCAACATACAACTAATTCCGTAGTCACTGGTCTTCCTACGGGACTCTATACTATGCATGTGGATTTTCATCTTGTTGAAACTAGTACCTGAGATAACATAGCAGAGGTAAATTCAGCAAGTCACTCTAATGTGAGTTAATAGTTGGTGGAAATCTTAAATACTTTTGCTTAAGGCAAATAAATGGGTTGAGCTTCAATTTTTTAGCATCAGTTTCCAGAGAGTAGGTGACCAAGAATACATGTATTGGAAAACTTTTCCAGAAGCAAGCACAGCAAAGAATATTAGTGGATGTTGTTGGGAGATAACTTTTTAAATAAATCCATCATGTATGTTTATTATTTTTACAGGTTCCCCTTCCTATTGTCTTCATTATAGCTACAAAAACAAGTTTGTTAGAAGACTAGCTCAATGCCATTTCTGAAATGTGAAATAAAATTCTTCTGCTATTCAGTTACATAGGGATCACATTTCTGTCTAAGAAAATAGTTGTGATAATTTGTTAGCACTTACCTTTGTAAAACTGTTTTTATTAGTGACCTTCAGGTGAAGTTACACTCAATTGCATGTACCCACCAACATTGGAAATAGTGAGAAAAGCAAGAGTCACCAGAAGAGTGTTTGTGTTGCCTGGTATTCCCTGAGTGGTAAACACTTGTGTTTCTTTCAAACATTTATGCTTACAGCCATTGTATAATGGTGATTTTCGAAATGATCTTTAACTTTCCATTGCATTTAAAAATAAATTGTTATCCAAAATTCCCAGATTTCTATAAAATTAGAGCTAACACTCCATAAAAATGGGAGTCCATGTAGGTATTTAGGTTAGGCTGTTTTCTTTTTTATGGTTATTTTTTAAGATTTATTTATTGAGTATGTATACAATGTTCTGCCTACATATATGCATGAACACCAGAAGAGGACAAGAATCACATCAAAGACAGTTGTGAGCTACCGTGTGGTTGCTGGTAATTGAACTCAAGACCTCTGGACATGCAGCTAGTGCTCTTAACCTCTAAGCCATCTCTCTAGCCTATAGACTGTTTTCTTTATATAGCTAATTAATCTATATTACAATCCAGAATGTTTCAATTATTTAGAGCATTGGGATGCAGACAGTTAAATGACTTGGTTATTGCCATCAAATTCTATGAAACTGAACATGTAAAAAATGTGAAGTTGGTATAGTAAAAGAAATATCTTCAGTTGTTTAATATTGACAAGCCTATGCTGTTTTACACAGAGTATAGGACTTTCTTTTGAGTCTTCTTTTTTATTGATTTTTTGTGGATTTCACATCATGTATTCTTGATTCCATCCATCTCCCCATCCCTTCATAGCTGCCCTCTGTTCTTGCAACCACCACCACCCCCAAAAATTAAATTTAATTAAAAAAAAACAAATAAGCAAAAAGAAAAGAAAAAGTGAACTAAAATTAAACAAAAAAAAAAAACAAAAGCAAAAATCTTGGTGTGGAAGCTGTACTGTGACACAGTGAGTCACACAATATACCATTTATTCCTTACATATTTACTTGCAAGTGTTTATAGAAATGTGGTGCAGGAGAATTGTCTGTATTTTGTCAACCATGTTTTAAATAAATGCTGATTGGCCAGGCAGGAAGTATAGGCTGGTCAACCAGACAGGAAGTAGAGGGGGGTGATGAGAACAGGAGAATGCTAGGAAGGAGGAAGCCCATTCCTTCCACTCCTGTCCAGACCACTGGAAGCAAGATGTAACCTGCCAGGCTGAGAAAGGTACTGAGCCATGTGGCTAGCATAGATAAGAACAATATAAGCTACAGGACCTAATAAGTAGCCTGAGCTAATGGGCCAATCAGTTTTATAACTTATGGAGATCTCTGTGTGATTTTCTTTCTTTGGGGCTTGCCAGCTGTGGGGTACTGGGTGGGACAGAAACCCCCAACAAGCCAGGCCCTCATGTTATAGAATGGTGCCCAATGTGGATAACTGCATCTATAAAAAGCCTGAAAAAGCTTGGAAAAAAATAGAGTAAAGCATGTTTTCTTGGTAGCAGCAATTTCTCTGCTCTGCTTGCTAGAGGCAAGCAAGCACTCTCATCTAAGAGAGGTTTTCTGACTCAGCTTTAGCTTTGCAGCTTTTCTAAGAGGTCCTGCCACAAAACACTTAAATGGTGTCAATGAAAAGCTGAATGCATGCTTTGCAGTTTTCAGCCATAGCAAGACAAAAGCTGTGCTTTTTAAAATGCCAGCTTTCTGTGCCATCCTGCCAGGGCAACTTTGACTCTTTCAGGCAAGCAGTCCAACTGAGTGTGGTCTGTGAGCAGAATGCTGCAGCTTGCTTGCTGGTAGGGACCTTGAAATGCCATAGAGTTGTGGTGATAAAAGTGGCTACAGCTGGTACCAGGAGGCTGAAATGTCAGAGAGCTAAAAATGGGCTGGATCTAGCCATCAAAGCCACGGCTTTAATCCTCTTCATACTGCATACTGCATAGTAAATTAAAGACTCATGTGATCACAAAAGGAGAGATATACAGTTAAAAAAAATTCAAAGTTGAAGAAAACCTCTAAATGGTTTACAGTGTGTTAAAAATATATGCAGGCTAAAAGTTAAAGTTCTTAAAGTAAAAAAAAAGGAAGAAAGAAAGAGAGTAGTTGGGTATGGTAGTGCACAGCTTTAATCCCAACACTTGGGAGGCAGAGGGAGATTGACCTTTGTGACTTCAAGGGGCAGAGGTAGATTGACCTCTGTGACTTCAAGGTGTGATAGCACACGCCTTTAATCTCAATGCCTGGGAGGCAGGGACAGACAGATCTCTGTTAGTTTAAGGTATGGTAGCAAACACCTTTAATCCTAGCACCAGGAGGCAGAGACAGATCTCTGTGAGTTCAAGGACATCCTGGTCTACAGAGTTATTCCAGGACAAAAATATACAGAAAACCTGTCTCAAAAAGTCAAAAAATAAAAATAAAAGAAATAGAGGTTAAAATAAAGCAGCATAAAGATGGAAAATACACAGAGAATCTTGATACTGTATGTCATTATGCTCTCTTTGAATTGTTTGAATGCTGAGGAAGGAGCAACAGCTGCTAAAAGATATTTGCTTATAAATGCTGCTGCACTTATCCAAGATAGGTATTTTGAAAATACCTTAAATTCAAAATTGAAGTCAAAAGGTATGTTACTTTGGAGAAGAGATTTTGCTTTTCTTTCCACAGGAAATGAGAAGCTGTGGATTCATTCTGAATTAAGAAAAATCAGGTTTGATCAAGGAAGACCACCTGAAAAATCTCTGGTAGGAACAGATGGCCCAGATGTCTAAGTTCTACATCCAGAACATATTCAAGACTGCTGCCACATATGGTCAAAACTCACTGGATACTCCAATCAGGACTTGATCATAATTCTAAATTTTCTTTAGGTCCCCATAAGATTATCAGAGCCCCCAACCAGCTAGAAGTAGCCTGGAATACTACACCCACATTCCCAAAAAATGGACTATGGATATTTTCCTTTGTTAAAAAAAGGGGGGGGGAGTAGTACGAAAGAATTGTTTGTATTTTGTCAGCCATGTTTTAAATAAATGCTGATTGGCCAGGCAGGAAGTATAGGCTGGTCAAACAGACAGGAAGTAGAGGGGGGTGATGAGAACAGGAGAATGCTAGGAAGGAGGAAGCCCATTTCTTCCACTCCTGTCCAGACCACTGGAAGCAAGATGTAACCTGCCAGGCTGAGAAAGGTACTGAGCCATGTGGCTAGCATAGATAAGAACAATGGGTTAATATAAGCTACAGGACCTAATAAGTAGCCTGAGCTAATGGGCCAATCAGTTTTATAACTTATGGAGATCTCTGTGTGATTTTCTTTCTTTGGGGCTTGCCAGCTGTGGGGTACTGGTTGGGACAGAAACCCCCAACTAGCCAGCCCCTCATGTTATAGAAATGAGTCATTTTTCTGGACCAAGGCCTATGACTTCTGCTACACCATTGATAATGGACCCTCATTGGGACTCTTTTTGGATATCCTGTTGTTGCCTTGTGTCACAAAGATCTTGCAACTTTGGATCTGCAGGTCCAGGACTTTCACATGCTCCAGCAGTTCATAGATGAAGTAGATATTGGAGTGTGCCAATTCATAGCCCTGGTTTTGGGTGTATAGGTGATAGCTGGGTAGGTCAGCATGCCAGTTCTTCCTCATCAACAACACGAGAGCTAGCTCTCCAGCATGTCCTGGCTAGGTCACCCACTGCAGCAGGCAGTATGGAGTAGGACAAGTTCTCCTTCTCTCACACCCTAAGGACCAGCTCACCTGCACGCACACCACAAGGACCAGCTCTATTGTTTTGCTCTGATGTGGGATTCCCCTCTGTATGCTGTGGATATCATTTGTGAATAAAGAAACCACCTTGGTCTGTTGATAAGGCAGAATGTAGATAGGTGGGGAAAACTAAACTGAATGCTGGGAGGAAGGAGGGAAAGTTGAGGAGAAGCCATGTAGCCCTGTTGAAGACAGATGCCGGAACTTTACCTAGTAACCCACATGACAGATGAGGGTGGGGTGGGGTCAGTTCTCTTGCTTTCATACCCTCAGGGCCAGCTGACCTTGCCTCCCCATTCCACCCACCTCCCTACCCCCTTATCCCTCCAACCACCACCAAGAGTCAGCTCTACTCTTACCATGTTGCATGCAGGAGGTACAGGCAGAGTGCTGCAGCTGGTGAGGGGGCAAGACCAGCTCTTCCGCTCTCGTGAACTCATGGTCAGCCATCCTGCCTGCTGCAGAGTTGAGGGATGGGGGATGAGAGATAGCATCCCTCTCTCACCCACTCCACCATATGGCAGATGAAGGCTGGGGCCTGTCTCTCACTCACATTCCAGGGTTCAGATCCCATCAACAGGATCAGCTCTATTGTGCTGGCCA